ATTTGGTGGAGCTCCATGTGGGGCCACGAACAGGGTGAGGGGTGGGCCGAAATGGATGGCGGGGACGCATGTGGGCACCGCCACTGGGGCCTCAGGTGGAGCTCCCTATGGGGACGCGAAGCGTGTGAGGGGTGTGCCGACATGGGTGGCCGGGATGCAAGCGAACTGCGTCACTGTGACCTGAGCTGGAGTTCCCCATGGGGCCACGAAACGTGTGAGGGTATGGCGAAATGAATGGCCGGCATGCGAACTGCGCCACTAGGACCGTGGGTGGAGCTCCCTATGGGGCCACGAAACATGTGAAGGGTGTGCCGATATGGGTGGCGGGGACGCATGTGGGCACCGCCACTAGGGCCTTCGGTGGAGCTCCCTATGGGGCCACGCAAAGTGTGAGGGGTGTGCCAACATGGGTGGCGGGGACGCATGTGGGCACCGCCACTGGGGCCTTTGGTGGAGCTCCCTGTGGGGCCACGAAATGGGTGAGGGGTGTGCCGAAATGGATGGCGGGGACGCATGTGGGCACCGTCACTGGGGCCTCAGGTGGAGCTCCCTATGGGGCTACGAAACGTGTGAGGGGTGTGCCGACATGGGCGGCCGGGATGCAAGCGAACCGCGTCACTGTGACCTGAGCTGGAGTTCCCCATGGGGCCACGAAACGTGTGAGGGTATGGCGAAATGAATGGCCGGCATGCGAACTGCGCCACTAGGACCTTAGGTGGAGCTCCGTATGGGGCCACAGAACATGTAAAGGGTGTGCCAACATGGGTGGCGGGGACGCTGTGGGCACCGCCACTGTGGCCTTCGGTGGAGCTCCGTATGGGGCCACGAAATGTGTAAGGGGTGGGCCGAGATTTGCGATGATGATGATGATGATGATGATGATGATGATGATGATGATGATGATGATGATGATGATGATGATCAGGACGACGATGATGATGCTGATGATAGAGGATGACGATGACGACGACGACGACGACGCCGACGACGACGACGACGATGATGATGGTGATGATGAGGAGGAGGAGGATGGTGAGGATGCTGATGCTGATGATGGTGATGGTGATGGTGGTGGTGATGGTGATGATGATGATGGTGATGATGATGGTGATGATTATGAGGATGATGAATGATGATGGTGGTGATGATGTCGATAATGATGATGATAATGATAATGACAATGACACTGGTAATGACAATGGTAAGTTTAATGATAATGAGAATGATGATGAGCATGATAATGATAATGATGATGATAATGATGATGACAATGGTAATGATAATGATAATGGCGAATACGCATGGTAATGATCATGATAATGCTAATGCTCTTGGTAATGATGGTGATGATGATGCTCATGATGCTGATGCTAGTGATTATGATGATGGTAGTGCTGGTGATGTTGAGGATAATGGTGATGATGCTGATGACGACGATGGGAGAAGGGAGGAGGAGGGAGGAGGAGGAGACGAGGAGGAGGAAGGAGTAAGGAACGCGGGGCGCTGTCTGGTCAAAACGAGGACCAAACACCACAGGATCGTTGGGACAACAAAAAACCTACCTGTGCAAGTCTCGCAGAATGTGCTCTCGTGGACACGAACTCCGAGGAGGTCTCGAGCGGCAGCTCAGCTCCGTTCTCAAAAGCGTGGCCCTGGATCCGTGCAGCGGCTGCACGTGTGGAAGCGTCGGGTCTTAGAAGCAGCGAAGCCTCCAGCGAGTACTCTACTCTGAACAAAAGCTCTCCTCTAACCTTTCGTTGTGGATGCCGTGACAATGGACACCATAACAATCCGATCATTGAATGGAATATGTGTTAAACTATGTAAAACATGTTCTACAAATGTGCCAAGCATGTTTTTAACATACTTAAGACATGTTTGAAACATATTTCAGACATATGGAAATTATTTGACAGCATGCTTCCTCGCCGTTATCAACTTCCACAAACCTGTCGAAGCTTGCATCGAAAAACGAATGCGCGCGGCGCTGAGGCGAGAGCCCAGCTTTGAAAGCGACCAGCGCTCAATCCTTGATTCTGTTGCAAGATATTGAAACGAACGTGCGCGGCGATAGTGCGAGAGCCGCACGCTAAAAGGAACCCCCCTCTATCTGTGAAGCTGGTGATAAAAATGAAATAGCTATCCTGGCGCAGGACACAAGCATATGCATTTGTCAGTGACGCATTTGTGAGGATCGTCTGCGGTGCCGCCCCCTTTGGGGCCACAAAACGTGTGAGCGGTGTGCCGAAATTGCGCGGGTGACGCAAGTGGACCCTCCCGCTGGGGCCTTAGGTCGAGCCCCTATGGAACCACGAAGCATGTGAGCAGAGTACCGAAATGGTGCGGGGGAACGCATGTGGACTCTCCCACCGGGGGCTTCTGTGGAACTCCGTATGGGGCCACGAAACGTGTGAGGGTGTGCCAACAAAGGGCGGAGGAACGCATGTGGACCCTCCAACAGGGACCTTCGGTGGGGCTCCCTACGGGGCCACAAAACATGTGAAAGGCGTGCCGCAACGGTGCGAGAGGACGCAAGTGGACCCTCGCACTGGGGCCTTCAGTGGAGCTCCCTATGGAACCACGAAGCGTGTGAGGGGTGAGCCGACATGGGACGGGGGGACACATGTGGACCCTCCTCCTGGGGGGTTCGGTCGGGCTCCTTGCGTGGCCATGAGACGTGTGAGGGGTGTGCTGAAAAGGGGCGAGGGGGCGCATGTGGACTCTCCATATTGGGGCCTTCGGTGGAGCTCCCTGTGGGGCCACGAGACGCGTGAGGAGTGTGCCGACATATGGCGGGGCGACGCATGTGGTGGAATTCCCCATGGGGGCACGAAGCGTATAAAAGGGTGTGCCGGAATCGTGCGGGGTGTCGCATGTGGACCCTCCCAGTGGAGCCTTGGGTGGAGCTCCCTATTGGGCCACGAACCGTGTGAGGGGTGCACCGATACTGGGCGGGGGGGCGCATGCGGACCCTCCTGTTGGGGGGCTCCATGGAC